TTTATTCTCTCCTCCTCTCTCTCTCTCTCTCTCTCTCTCTCTCTCTCTCTTTCTCTATATAAAAGTTACGTCGTAGGAGTCGTAAAGAACTTATAATTGCTCGTTTCAGTACGATCTTTGTGCGATCTGAGACAAAGAAGAAAGTCGAAAAGAGAAACTTAAATGGCCAGTTGCTAACAACTGCATCTGTTGTTTAACTATAACCAATTGTTTGCAAATGTTTCTCTCGCTTTTCTCGAATTGTAAATTTCGAGATAAGTTCCCATTCATCTCTCAATCTTTCCTGTTTCTATCGTAAAAATTATACGATATAAATATTTAATTACACTCGCGAATATCTCACCATTTTATATATATATATAACAAAATCGCGGGTGGAATAAAATTTCAGATAAAATCGAAAAAAACATCGATGAAAATTCCGACCGAAGAAGAAAGAAAACTGCGAATTTTCCTCCGTGATTTCCCCCAAAAATCTTTCGAAAAAATCACGAACGAGGAAAAGAAAGAAAAGAAAGAAAAAAAAAAAAGCATCCAGCCGTGGAAAATGGATGGAACAACGTTCTCCCCTTTCACGCCACTCCCTTGCTCCCGTGCGAAGTCGTAACGTTCTTTTACCTTGGCCATAAACCGTCACGTTTAAAATAGGCCGTCAAAAGACGTAACCGACGAGCTGTCTTCCTCGTTTTAATTGCCACGGATCGTCAACAGCCTCGTTAATGGGGTGTAAATCAATTCCTTCCAGCAGCAGCTCTCCCCCTCCCCCCTCTCTCGAAACCTCGTCGAATTTCGCTCGTCGTTTTCGATGGGGGAGAGGAGGGAAGAGGGAGAAGGGAAAGGGTTTTTCGGTGGAAGTTGCACAGACTGGCGGATTTCACGCGCGTGCACGTTCCCATAGGAGGGGGGGAAAGGTTTACGAGGTTCACGTTTTTACGAGCATCTCGTATTCTTTCACACGGCTATTTTCGACGACGCCGGGGGCCCGGACGATTTAATGAATGAAATTTGAACTTCCTCGGGACACGGGGGGGTTCGGGTTCAACGACACGACGGATCGAACACGAATTTCGCCCTAGGGATATATTTGGGGGATGATCGAGGATATAATTTTTCTCGTAACGGAGACGCGAGTGGAAATTTCGAAAAAGAATCGAGGAGGATCGATCGAAACGCGTCCTCGAGAAATCCATCTGTTAAATATAAAGTGCAGGAAGTTTAGAGCGGAACGTGTGCCGTTCTTTGAGAATATTTTGATTATTAGTCTTCTACATTACAAGCTTTTATTTTTTTCTTCCTAAAAATAAGTCGGAATTTGTATATAAGCGACATACATTGGTTCGTGTAAACAATATTTCCGATGTGCATTCATCGCATCAACTTGACGCAGCTTGTATTAATCTTTAATTCGTTAGATTTAATAAGATTACATTAAAAATGCGAGAGAGATGGAAAGTAACGAGCTGTGACGAAAGCATTTAGTTGGATCGAGCGAGAAAAGAAGGGAGAAGGTGAAAATGGTCCGAGAGAGGAATGGATGGAAAAAGATGTAATCGTAAATCATAGCCGCGTGCCGTTAAATCTTGAGTTTTTCTCGCGAGTCAACGAGAGACACGTTCCCCGTCCACTTTCAAGAAAGATTGACGACGCGGGTCGGCCGAGGACATTTCGTTTTTCTCCCTTTTTTATCGACTGAATTCGCTGAATGTTAAGCACCGCGGCGATTTGAAATGATCGCCCGGTCGGTAAGTTTGCCGTAGGAATTTTATGAAAGTCGTATACGCTTACTTTTCACTTTTCGTACTGGCCATTGTTGTCCGATAGAAAATGTGGAAGCCCGTGGAAAAAATATTTTCACCGCGTTGTCGAAGAATTATTATATTGGCGAATGGTGAACCCGTAGGAATGCGTATAAAAGTTGGAAAGTTTCAATCTTTTCAAATGACATAACGCTTATGCTGTATAATATATTCTCGATGCATCGAACGAACGAAAGCGAAGTGGAGAGTAATTGAATATTTTATCTTTTAGGAGTGTGTTTATTTTATCGAAGGAAGATTGTCTTTTTTTTATCGTGTAAAATTTCAACGAATGCTCAGGAAAGGAACAAATTCGCGTTAAGCTATTATTAATTTTTACTCGATAGAAACATACATTTCTTTGGCGTGTTTCTTGGAAATATTAAACGCATTATATAATGTGTTCTATAATAAAACGACTATAAACGTTTTATGCGTTTTATTACCGGTATTGTATTCTCTTCTTGCGAGAGATTACCTCTCACCGCCATTACTCTTACTTTCGCACGTTACCACTTAACATTCATCAATCTGTAAGTTCGAAGTAAATTCATCCACGCATGAAACTGTAAACCGTCGTCGTTTTTTTCAACATCGCTATTCTTCTTCAACCATTGCTACATTCACAGTCGAGCTTAACAATCGTCTTCGATGATTTTTCTTTTCTTTAAATCTTTTCACTTCCAATAAAATTTTTAACAAGAATCTTCCTTCGCAATATCGATTTTTTTAAAGCATCGATGCGAATACTGTCACTCCTTCGATCACTGTATAAAATTTTACCTCAATATATATCCTATATATCATTCGTTTTTACGCGTTGTTTTTCATTTCGTTCGGATGCAAGGAAACTACGAGCCATTCCACGAGCCATTCGACACTCTGACAGCCTCTTCTTACTTACTTACTACGTCTTTAGCTTGTTCGCTGCAGCTAGTACAAATGACGCTTTTATGAAACTCGCCACCCAAAGGTGAACGAACCTTCCACCTTCCAGAATATTAGTTCCAATCTTCGAAACGAATCTCAATTTTATATAAATCGTAACGAATATGTACGCGAATATACGACGAACGATTAAAAAAAAATCGACCAAAGAAAAATTTCCTTCCATCATCCTTCGATCCTTGGAACGAAAATTGAACGAAGCATCGTTTCGATTCGGCCAATTTTGATTTTATTTCGAAACGCACGCACGCACATACACACACACACACTCTCTCTCTCTCAGCGAAACCGTTTCTTTTCGAGGAAGAATGGGGCAGACGGGAGGGCAGACGGTTTCGACGCGTAATCGGTATCGTTCGCTGCGACCATGACCGTGCCAAAGAACTGGCCACATGGAACTGGGTCGTAGGCAGTCATGGTTATTTCAAGCACGAAAACGTCTTCTTTTTCTTTATGGCGTTCTGTCTGTCTTTTGCACCTTGCACGCGCGCGTGCACTTGCCGCTGCCCGCTCGTTAATTGAAAAATTCTTTTCTCGTTGAATACCGTTTCCTCGAACTTCTCGCGCTGAGCAAGTTTCTTCTTCTTTTTTTTTCTTCTTCTTCTTCTTTCTTCTTTTTCTTTTCTTTTCTTTTCTTTCTTTTTTTTGTCCATATAACGGGTGTTTTCTTGTCCAGCTCGAGACTAGCTAGCTTATTTAGAATAAATAACTCTCAAACGCGTAATAACTTCTTCCACGTTGCAACTATTTTTAAAGGAGAAGATGAGAAATTTTTGGAAATTTTTGGAAAGGTAATTTCGTATTAGTTTTATCGTCGAGTCGAAATAATTGCTGCTGCCTTCACGAAACGCGCACCGATGATAAATCGATGAACAGTTTGGAAGGCGAACAATTTGCAAAGAATCGGAACAAAGAAGAAGGGGAAAAGCGCAGAGGCAAGAAAATCTAATTAAAATTCGCGAAACGAGCCCAGGTAGACTTCAAGGAAATCTTTGACGAAAAGAAATATCGTCTCTGCTCGCGCGGAATAATTTATAAGCACCCTCGTTTCGACAGCAGAAGGAAGAAAAAAGAAAAAAGCAAAAACAATCAGAGAGAGAGAGAGAGAGAGAAAGAGAGATCCGTGATTTCCTCGATCTCGAAGGCAAATTTTCCAGAAATCCGTTTCCTCGAAAAATAATCACTGCTCCAAGGCCCATCGTAGTAGTTTGACGTGGTGGTAATAATAGTAGTAGTAATAGTAGGATCACGAAGAAAGTCACGCCGACGTGATACCAGTTTTACGAGACTTTTACACCCCTTCCACCTTAAACGTACACCTGCTGATGCGGCTGACTCCAAGTCATCAAACGCCTTTGCGCATTACCCGGAAGCGCCTTGGGCGTCGTGCCAGCCTCCGTCCAGAGAGGTTGGATATCCGAAAAAAAAAGAAGAAGAAAAAAAAAGTCTCGAGGACTCGGCCGTATATCAAAAGATGCCGGATTTACCGATGGCCCCAAGTCATCTCGAAACTCGGAACAATGTTGGCTTCGAGCCTTGTTCGAGCCAATTCCAAGATATTTCGCCCCTCCGTGTAATCGGATTGTCTTGATAAATTTTCTATCCTCAAATTTGTTCTCTTCTTCTTCGTTCATTAGGCGTTTTACGAATTTCTTTGTGGAAATGGTTTCTTCGTCGTAAGATATAAATATAGAATATTGGACGCATTCGATGAAAGTCCCTCGAGAGATGGATTCTCGAAGAGAGAGAGAGATGTTCTCAATTACGGGAAAAATTGGTCGAGGATCGTTTAGGATCGTTTCTCGATTACTTTCCTCGATCGAAGTTGGGAAGAATTGCTGGTGGAAATAGCAACGGTGTGATTGCTACGCGACTCCCTCAGGCCACTCCGGAGGGGAACGGAGTGAGAATTATTTGCGACCATTTCGCCTCGGAATTTATTGCCAATCTGGCTCGTACGTCATGCCCTCTTGTGTCTTCCCTTGTGCACGGCCGATGATCCAAAGGAGGAGGAGGAGGAGGAGGAGGAGGAGGAGGAGGAAGCCGCGGAATACGTGTGCCGCGAAACGACATGGAAAGTGGGAATATTTTATTTTACCGACAACCACATGGTGAAACCGAGCCTCTTCTTCGCCTCGGGACGAAGAAGCGTTGTCGAAAGAAACATTCCGGGGATAACACCGTCTCTTTTTATTGGCAAGTTTTTTTAAATCTTCGGGGGATCAAGTCACCTTGATCGGATATTTTTAAGGATTTTCAAGATTTTTCCTTCCTTTTTGCCTCGTTCGAAAAGTTTTTAAGGTTATTTCTGGGGAACTTCATATTTGGGGGATATTTCAAGGTGTTTAGTTACTTTAGAATGTTTTTAGGGAATTCTAGAATATTTAGTTGTTTCGGATCTAGGCGATTAGTGGAGATTCTTTCTTTTTGTACGGATGTTTAATATTTTTGTATAGAGTTTTTTTATTTAGAATTCCTCCTAGAGATTCTAATGTAATTTCAAATGGAATTTGAAATAATTATTTTCGTAATGCAAACTCATTACGAAATTGCTTAATAATTTAATAATTATTATCACGTCTTAAGAAATGCATCTATAGATATATATATATTAGCGTAAACTAAGGTCGGTAGTTCGGGTAGTTTCGTCATTTGTATTTATAGTGCAATGACAGTCACTGAAGCGCCTTCATCCAAGCGATAAGCTTAACATATTAACATGAAAATATTATATTTTGTGACCTAGTTATTATAAAATAATAACTATTCCGTAACGTTACGTTTCTCGTTATGAAAATTTCGAAACCAATAACATAATCTTTATATAAATTTAAATTATAACAACAATTTAATCCCAGGAAACGCAGGATATAAAAAAAAAAGAAAGAAAAAAAAATTAGAGCGCGTACTTTGAAACCGCAAGAAATACATAGAGATACGGTCGTGTTTTCGGCGCAGATTTTAACACAGATTGGCGAGCATTGTGTCCACGGCACGATCCACGTCATTCACGTTCGATCCTTCATCGCTCATTTACCACTGTTCCGGACCATCTGGGTCACGTTTTAATTTAGCTGCACCGAGGCTTTCCGACATAGTCAATCAGACGTCTGTTTTCAGACGTAGAAATAGGAAGCCATAAACACCGACAGACAAATTCCCAACCTCGTTACTCTCGATACTGAATCGATCCACTCGACCTAATTACACCCTACGTTCCTGAAACAGTGTAATAGTTCTCAGTGTGGCCAATTGCTCTTCCCCTATGCCTCTTATCTCATTTCCTCGATAAGTTTGTTCGAAACGATACACTCGCACATTGATTTGAAACACACACATTTATATATATATATATATATATATATTTTTCTTTGTTGTTGATGATGGAAAAAATTAATAAATAAGTTATTATTAAATTAACGAAAAGATTTAGAAAGAGTGATTTATCTCTTCACAATTTATGCGTTCGATACAATTATTTCAGATTTATTGGCAATGCGCTTTTCAATCTCTCAAACACCAGAATACCATGCTTATTGCAACATTGTGTATATACAACTCTGTACTTAATTTAAACATTTATAGTTTACGATTGTTATTAAGATTTAAGATGGTTGTCAATGATGGTGGAAAGGTTCGAAGTTCGAAATTTGATTCGCAACAGTTGTAAAGACAAATACATAATTTTATACGATACGAAGAGAGTATTGTCGAAAACAATTTAATGAACAGAATTTTCCAAATTATAATCCAAATAGATAGTTTAGTCTAGATGACTATGAATAGACAGATCCCTCGGCCGAGTTATAGACGATTATCGAGTCGGTGTTCACCAGGTGTTCACGTTTCGTCTTCCTCGAGCGTATTAATAGTCCCAACTATTATACGACATAGTTGTCAAAGGTTGGACAAGGCTGCGCGATAAATAAGGCAATTGAACATCGGAAGCTTGGCGATTTGTCTCCCGCCAGTGCTCTAATGCAAGGCGAAAACGGTCACGCCTGAAAATGGAACTCTTCAACTAGTACAATGTTCGAGATGACTCAAGATCATATTTCTCGCTTAATAATTTCTGACAAAGTTCTGGCAACTTGCCAGATTAAAAACGGTGGGACAAATGGGGATGAGGGGAGTGGAAAGGAAAAATGTAGAAATTAACGAAGAAGCAGCAGGAAATATCTATCTACCTAACCCTTCCAAACGTTCGTCGAAACGTTCGTTGAACTCTTAAAATTCTCCACCTTCTTCTCTCGAGCTTTCTCGGCTGTTTACAATTTATTAATTATCGATTCGAACATTTCTCTTTATTTCAGAGATTAGAAAAAAAGATTTGAAAAAAAAAAAAAGGAAAATAGGATTTGCTTTCTTGAATTTTATTCCTTATTAAATAACTCGAAACGAAATTAATTAAATATTGTTATAACATGGTGATTAGTGATTAAACTTTATTGAAATTTTTTTTTATTTTTTTTTATATAAGTTTCGATATCGAGGTTACACACAGTCAATAACCTACGTTCATCCACTTGATACAGATACGTCTGACATACAGTGAACACAGCCTGATACAACAATCGTTTGACAGCTCGCTTATTTTAGCCATTCATCTTTATAGATTCAAGCCCCAAAAGCTAAATATATTTTTTCACACTTATTGTCAATAAATAAACCCGATGGTTTATTTCTGAGTTTTTCCCCCTACTATTCCAATCTTTCCAAAATTCCACCATTCGTCGATGCTTCCCCCGTTGCACAACCTTCCTTATCAACTAACCCCGCTTTAAGAATAACAACTCTTAACGGATTATTAAGAATTATTAAAATTATCGATCCAAAGAAAAACGAAGAATAAATAAAAGGATAAAATAAAATGACAAATTCAGATTCGAACAAAAGAAAAAAGATTCGCGCTGGGTTAACGCGCAAAATCGACGAGGAAACAAGGAGGCCAGTTTAAGACCCAGTTCGTAATAACAATCTATCCGTGACAAAGAAGGAAGGAGGGAGATAAAGCCGGTCCAGACGACGGCGAGCAAGGCTACATCGCGAACGGCGTAACCCACTTTTGCAAAATTAGATTTTGCACGGGGGGGAGAAGCAGAAGAAGATGTTGTATCTAGGCACCCCGCCGACCGACGTTGCTTACAACGAACGATCGGATAACGACTCTGGGAAACGTTGTGCAGAGCAGCCCATCGTTTGCCATCGAAGAGGGGGGGAGGGGGAGGGTTCAGACACGTGTCGAACCGAATCCTTCGAACGTGTGAACTTTCACTCAGCTGAGAAGGGACTTCACTTTACGAGTTTATGCAGATAATCGAGGATCATTTTTTTGATGGGATGATTTGTTGAATGAAAAAGGATATAGAATCTGTGAAGATAGTAGATATTGTTGGGGGAGATAGAGATGATGGTGATGCAGGTTAGTTTAGAAGTTTTCAGAAGAATGAGAATAATTGAATTTTAAAGAATAATATTGGGAGCTTGCTTTTGATCTATTTCTTTTGATTTATTGTATCTAAATTATAACTCGTTTATTTATGTTAGAAAACGTGAAAGATTGTCTTCTCGGAGGGATGGATCATATTTAAATGGTATTCTTGAAAGAATGGGGCAGCTTTAAATAGTATTCCTCGAAGGGTTTTAATAGCATTCGCTGTGAAGATAAAAAGTCTTAAATGAGGAAGAAGTGAAACGCGTTAAAAATGATGGCAAAAATGAAAAACCTTGGGACGATATGCTCCGAAACTTAATTTTAAATAGTATTCTTGGGGAAGAAATTAAAAGGGACGCACGATCGTCTTTCTTGGAATGAAAAATCCTTTGATTAATTATTTTTAATAATCAACAAACCATCTTTTTAGATACCTCGAAAATCGATACTCTTGGAATCTTGGACAAAACCCATAACTTTTTCCTCGTTAAAAATACACGAATCACAAAGAAGATAAGCAAGGAAGCAACCACTTAACCTCCAAAGCAAATCGAGCATCTCTCTGCTCGAGGGACCCGACAAAGTGATTTCGATCAAGGGATCATCCTTTGATCCTCACGAGCCACGTGCACCCAGTCCACATGGTCTCCATAAATGATTTATAAATGATCCACGAGGATCCAGTTTCC